TACTCTGTTCTATTCCATAACACTAACAAGTAACAACAGCCTTTTAGAATTCTATTTTTATCCTTATTTTCCAATTGCTAAGACTTCAATAGTTTAGGTTCAAAACATCAAACAAGGATATCTATCAAAACGCTCCTCAAATTTGAGAGGAGATTGGAAGAGAAGATTCTTTGTACTTGATAACCGAGGGATGCTGTATTACTATCGCAAGCAATTAGCCAGACCTTCTGTAAGTCAATCAGATTCTTTCTTCTTGATAAATAATCACAATCTTTATCTCTATTTATATTTATATAAAAATTTTCAGGGATCTGGTGTACAGAGAGGTAATACAGCTGAGCCTGGGCCTGGCATACTCAGCAGGTGGCTATCTTCTCATTATCATGGTGGGGTGCAGGATGTGGCACGCCACACAGTCAACTTGCTTACATCTACAATAAAGCCTGATGCTGAACAATCAGATTTGAGATTTTGTTTCAGGATTATCTCACCAATGAAGATATACACTTTACAAGTGAGTTGACTTTGTTTGTGTTTCTGATCATCATAATCCGTCATTTTCCTTTCTGACCCTCTAAACTAAATCCAGGCAGAAAGCTCACTGGAACAAATGGATTGGATTGAAAAAATAAACGGAGTAATAGCTTCACTCTTAAGTTCCCAAACACCTGAGATGGTAGGTTTCAAAAGGGTATATGATAGAGAATATGTACATTGCTATTATCTGCAACTTGCCATATTTAAAGTCTTTTAAGATGAGGAAAATTGTTTTTTTTTTTTTTTTTTTTGTACAGCATCTATGTACAAGTCCTACGAGTGAAGGTAGTTTAGGAGAAATCCCAATGAGTCAAGATAGGAAGACATCTGCAGAATGTAGCAGTGAGAAAGATAGGAGTTCAAGAAACGTGATGCGTGCATGTAAAAGCTCACAACAATTACGATATGGTGGAAGAAATGAAAAACCTGTTGATGCATTGAGAAAGATAGTTGGTAATGATAAGTGTGCTGATTGTGGTGCACCTGATCCAGACTGGGCTTCCTTAAATCTTGGAGTTCTTATCTGCATCGAGTGTTCAGGTGTTCATCGCAATCTTGGTGTTCATATATCCAAGGTCAGTTATATGTCAATTTTACCCTCGAATTTGTTATTTTTGGTTTTGGGGGATTTTTTGAATCTGGCATTGGTTTTGTGTAGGTAAGATCTTTGGAACTTGATGTCAAGGCATGGGAACCTTGTGTGATCAAGCTGTTCCAGTCATTAGGGAATGTATTTGCCAATTCAGTATGGGAGAAAATGTTGACTGTAAAAAGAAGTCATCAGGCTGATGATGAATTACCTAGGAGGTAAAATATTAATTTAATGTGGTTTAATACAAACTATTATATCCTCTTTCTTTGGGTTAGCAGCTTGATGACTTCTTTTTGATCTTGATGTTGTGATTCTTATACTAATGATTTTAGGTCCATGGAGTCTGATAAATCATGTGAGTCCTTGGGAAAACCTAGTTGTGATGATCATATATCCACAAAGGAAAAGTTCATTCATGCAAAGGCAAGTCCATTTCCATTTTTTTTACTACTTGAGCCATTTTTCATCAATAAAAAAAATTAACACTAAAACATCATATCTATCTTGTAATTGCAGTATTCAGAAAAGAGATACATTGAAAAAGTAAAAGACCCTCGTGATGTTACGACACTGGAACAACAATTATGGGAAAATGTGCGTTGTAATGACAAGAAAGCAGTTTACCTTCTTATCATCATATGCAATGCAGATGTGAATGCCACTTATGGTGCTGCCATCACACACTCACAAGACCTAACTGCAGTTGAGGTTGACCATGACCATGAATACGAATGTGACTACTTAAAAAGTTATTCTACAGATAGTTCCTCCTCAAGATCTTCAGCCTCAATAAAAGGGACTAATGATCCCTTAACCAATGAAGCCCTAGATGGTTGTTCCCTTCTTCATTTGGCTTCCCAAACTGCTGACTGTACCATGGTGGAACTGCTGTTACAACATGGAGCAAATATTAATGCTTGTGATTCAAAAGGTCAAACGCCACTTCATCATGGTATCATGAGAGGACGACTGGCAATCGTAAAGTTACTTCTTACCAGGTATTTAACATTAGTATATTGGAGTTGTTGATATGAGTAATAGTAAGACAAGTTTGATTGATTTTTGATAGGGGAGGTGATCCATTAGCAGCAGACATGGAAGGTAAAACGCCACGTCAGCTTGTGTCAGAATTAGGAATTGATGATATCCAACTCCTTGCCCTTCTACGAGCATCAAAGAGATAGCACCAAAGAAACTGCAAAGACTAGTAGCTCAATTTTGGTCAACCTTGGATCTTGTATATTTACTTTATACACATACATAATAGTAACTTATAAAAAATGCTTAAATTTTTGGTAACTAGGAGATATAGCATGCTGTACATTAACCAATATTTTTCGATTCTTGAATATACACTTTGTAATCCTTACATATAGGTGCTAAATGCAAGAAATAGCAATTTACTTGCTATTTTTCCTTGTTATAGCATTGTACTTTCATTTTTTTTTCTTATTTTAACATTGCTCTTTTAGATTATTCCTTGTTAGGGAATTCTACTTTAAAAAATTTACCCATTATAGCAATGGGTAACTGGCTACCTAATGTACTAGTCATCCCGTTGACTTTTTGCTGACTTTCTATTTTTCCTTGTTATAGCGAAGTTGTGCCCTATTGATAGGTCTGCAATTCGTTCGATAGAATATTCTAAATTTTGTTCGTCATCTTCAATAGAGGTTCTTCGTTGCTATAGAAATTCGGATGGATCATAACAGTGAAGATATGTACAAGTTCATCCTCAACGATCATATTATGAATGATAATATACGTAATCATAATTTTCCCCATCATATCCTTGTCCCGCAAAAGACATGGGTGTCGAAGAAATGCAAAACAAGCTTGTAGAACTCCAAATGCTCGATCAACATCTTTTTTTGGAAGCCTCTTGATGTTTAACGAACAAATTGTGTTTCCAAAGTTGGGGACGTTAATGTCATTGCATGTGTCGGGTGTTTTGAAGAATGCATGTCATATTCATACGAATGACTTCCAAAATGATTGTTGGTTTACTGCCTCTACCTACATATTGTCTAGCCTAAGTGGTGGGATACTTTTTCCATGTCCGGTGCATATAATCAATGTTTCCTATCATACCTAGAAATCCACGTTCTTCCCCACATGAAGTGGTCTTGCCAAATCTGCTTCATTAGGCCTTCTGAGATACTCTTCACCGAAACATGAAATGACACCTTCTACGCACTTTATTAAAGCATCCCTCATTACAGTTTCACTCATTCTCAAATATTCATCTTGTGCATCTGTTGATGTCCATACGTCAATGCCCATATAGTTGCGGTACATTTATGCAATGGTGAAAGACCTTGTATACCTATGGCATCACGTCTTTGTTGAAAATATAGGTCATTACCTATAACAGTTGTCACTATTTAGAGAAATAGTGATATTTGCATAAGAAATCTACGCTAAAAGGTTGTTTGATCATACGTTGGGTTGTCAACAAAGTAGTCTTTCATTGAACGTGCCTCACCCTGTTCAGGTTCTCGGTTGTAATACCTCCTTCTTGTTTTGTTCTGTGAGGATGACCACCTATGAGTAATTCATTGATGATTTCATCAAGTTGTCGATTTTGTTGAACAACCTGTGCTTCCTATTCTGAATATTCATTTGAACCCAATGAGTTTTCATTATGAGGCATTCTGAATATGTCGGTGCTATACTCTATTTATACTAGAAAAATAATGATTTATATTTCTTTTATCATTATAAATAAATATAATGTTAAATTAGTTTATCTAAATAAAATCCAAGCATCCAATACAAAGTTGACACATGGAAATGAAGATAATGTTCGATTTGGTAGATGATAAGATGAGACTGACAACTTTGTGTTCAATAAAGATGATAACTACAACTTCAGTTTTTGCTTTTTGGTTTGTTTTATATAAATTGTCCATTAGGGTTTTGATTTTGGTAGGTTTTCAGATGCCACTATACTCATTTATCTTGAATTTTATGACACAGTGGCATATTTATCAACATGTAGATGTATTATCCATTGAGGTACATTATCATGGTATGTTTGTTCATTGAGAACTCAAATATGCTAATGGGTTAGTAAAATGTTTAAACTTGTAATATTTGTGATGTGGAGTACATTAAATCTCTTGTTTTTCTTAAGTTTGAAACACACGTTATATGAATACAACAGTAGTCATTAATATATGGCACAATAAGATGTGATAGTTTTAGGTATGAAACCTTTTGAAAGATCTTAATTGGACATTAAAAAGGGTGAATCTTGTTGGGGTCGATATAAATATTGATGATGACATGTCTGAGGGGGTACTAGAAAGGGTGTAATAAATGTAATTAAAATAAGTTTTTTTTTTTTTGGTAAACATGTTTAACTTGAGTTAACATGAAACGGTGATCTTTTGTGAACATATTGAATTCGTAAAATGAATTTTTTTTTATGAAGATATTTGATTCATTGTATGATGTCAATGAACAAAATTAGAAGAATAAGAAACAATAGTTTCATGTTTTAACTTCATCATTTTTGTGATCTTTGTTTACATGTTCAAAACTATTGATTATTTTTCATAAGGCACAAATTTTCCAAGGAGTTAGTTGTAAGCAACATCACCAAATCTTTTTTAACAAAAGAACTACAACATGAAAACAATCAAAGCAACTAAAATAACAACCAACAACTTTTTTAAAGCCTTGTATGCTTAATATATTTTACTCGAGTCATATGTACACTTTCGCCATTTCCAGGTACTTGTTCTTGAGTCTTGACCAAATTGCCCCTATGAATTGCATTCAATAACAACAAACACAAACCACATTCCATGGTTCCAAAACAGCAACCGATTTTCGTGACCTAAAATTTCACCCAAAATTCAAACTTTCATACAACTTGCCCATCTTTTTCCCAATCAACATCTTGATCAATCAAGTGAGTTAAACTTGATGCTTGTGGGACCCATCCAAAACCTTCCATACTATTCAAAACTCCCTCCAACTTATTCTTATATCCTGCACTATGCAAACTACGTACTAAAGTAGTACACGTAGCAAAACTAAGCATAACCCCACGTTTCCCAATTTCATCAATCGATTTCACTGCTTCAGAAAATTTACCATTTTGACACAACCCATCAACCAATTTATCATAAACATCTTTTCCCGAAATACCCTTTTGTAACAAATCATCTAAAAGCATAAAAGATTTCTCCAAACTCCCTTCATCTTCATCCAACATTCCGTACACCACTTTATCTAAACTAATACCTTTCGCCACCATTTCCTCAAATATCGAAATCATTTTCGATTTTTTTCCCGATTTTATATAACCATGAGCTAAACAAGTGTATGTCACAATCGTTGGCATCAAACCCCGATTTTGCATTTCGATAAAAAGATCTTCTGCTTCTTCCATCATTTCGGATTTGCAGTAACAATCTATCAAGATTGTGAAAGTGACATGATTCGGTTTTATATGCTTGTTTTCAATCATATCTTTCAATAAAGCATCCGCTTCCACTATCTTTCCCATCTTGCAATACCCATCAATCAAAGTGTTGTAAGTATGAGCAGAAGCAATCCCTTTTTCCACCATTTCTTCGAATAATAACATCGCCTTTTCGATCTCCTTCTCTTTGCAACATCCATTGAGAAGGGCATTATAGGAAATATAATCCGGTTCAACACCATTCTCATTTATTTTATCAAACAACTCAAACGCCTCAGACAAATGCCCAGATTTACAATACCCATCAATCATTGTAGCATAAGTCACACCATCGAGTGTCAAACCCTTACAAGAAACTCCATCAAATAACTCCTTAGCTTTCTTGATTTCACCTAATTTACATAACCCACTTATCAAAACATTGTAAGTTACAATATTTGGAGGAACCCCTTTTTGACTCATTTCATCAACCAAATTGAAAGCTTCTTGCATATCACCATTCTTACATAGCCCAGAAATGAGAGAGGTGTAAGTGATGACATCAGGAAGAATGTTTCTTCCAATCATACTTTTGAATATTGAAAATGCTTCTTTTATGTTTCCCTTTTTGCAATGACCATCTATCATAGTTGTAAATATAATACGATCTGGGATTATATTAGAGTCAATCATTTCCTTAAAATACCTATCTGCAAACTCCATATCCTGCACTTTACTATATCCATTGATTATCGATCCATAAGTGAAAGAATTCGGTTTAACACCATTATTCTTCATTTGAGTTAACATTGACTGCACTTCTTCCATCTTTTTTTCTTTACAAAGACCGATTATAAGGGAATTATAGCAATAAACATCAGGTGGAGTACCTCTTTCTTTCATACCTGTCAATATTCCAATTGCTTCTTCAAAGCGATGAGCTTTACAGAGCCCAGATATGATTGAATTGTAAGTAAAAACATTTAACTTGACTCCATTAACAAACATTTCATCTTTTAACTTCAAAGCCTCGTCTACACACCCTTGTTTCATGAACCCATCAATCAAAGCACTATATGTCACATGGTCAGGATATGTGCCTACCTTTGACATATCTTCTAGAACCATCTTTGCTTCTTCCAATCTCTTAGCTTTGGATAGCCCATCTATGAGTGTTGTGTAAGTATATTGATCAGGAACCAAGCCCTTGTCTGCCATTGATGTTTTAAGCTCAAAAGCTTCATCCAAAAGCCCAGCTCTGCATAATCCTCCAATGAGCACATTGTATGTTACCAAACTTGGATCACAACCCTTTTCACCCATTTCCACAAACACCCTTTTGGCCTCGCTCATGTTTCCATTTTTGCATAGAGCACTAATCAAGTTGGTGTATATATACACATCAGGAACAATATGTAACTCAAGCATTTTGTCATACACCTTCCAGGCTAACTCTTTTTTATAATATTTCGATAAATTTGTCATCATAGAATGAACACAAGAAGAATCTGGAAAATGATTCCTATTGTTAATACCTGATACAACAGAAACAGCTTCATCGAACATTCTTTTGTTGTTATAAGCATCAATAATCATTCCATATAAGGAAGACCCAGAGTTTAAACCCTCGCCCTCCACACAAAAACTAGCAATTGATTCCATGATATCTGAAACCGGCTTCCGGGTTTCAATCATTTGCCCTAACAGAAGACTAGCATGTCTTGACTGATTGGAGTTACAAAGAACCGCAGCGAGAATCAAGAAAGATTTTAGGTTTTGAAGAGTACCAATTTGATGAAGCGACCAATTGAAGAAATGGAGAAGACGATTAGGGTCAGCACGTTGGTTTTGGTAAAGAACAGATTGAATCACATCTGGGTTTAGCGATTTCAGAAGATTAGGTGATGAATTTAGGAGGTGAGGCCAGTTGCGGTTCCTGAGAATGGCTGTGATTTCTCCGACTGTTTCCTCATTGATTCGTGAGGTGTTTGAAGAAGATTTTCTTGATTGATAAGTTAACACGAATCGGTTGTTGATGAAAGATAAGTTCCCGCGTGGAAATAATCTCATCATTTCTTGATCTTAGACTGTAAATCGCATTTGCAGGTTCGCTGGGAGAGAGATAGAAAACGCTGGGATTCGACTTCGATGTTACGTGGGTGAAGCATTCGATTCGATAACAAGGACTTCCATTTACAGATTTTCATTTTGACGATTGTATTTGAAGATAAATAATCCATATTAAAATAATAGGAGTATTATAAAAGCTATGGCGGTAGAATTATGCTCTCCCAATTGGTTAATTTTTTGCAAAATCAGTCCTAAAAATTCAAATTTGGTTCCTAAGGTTTGCAAAAAATTATACCACATCGTTTTTTAATATTATTTTTCGTTTTTTGTATACTTTATTTATTTTCGGGTTTTTTTTATAAATATATATATATTTTTTATTTTCTATTTTATATACACTTTATTCATTTTTTTTTTTAACTTTACTTTTCAACAATTTGATTTTTTTTACCTTTTGTTTTGTATTTTTTTAGTGTATATATAAAGTATATTAGAGTAGTTTTTTTTAGTTTTTTTTATTTTTTTTTCGTATTATATTTTTAATTTTTTCGTCTATTTATTTTTCTTATTTGTTTTCCAATTATTTGTTTTTATTTTTTTGTATTTTTAACCTTTTAATTGACCTTTTTCAAAAAAATGTTAAATGTATTAATATTTTAGAGCATATTAGAATTTTGATAATTTATAGTTTTTGTAATTTTTTTATTTTTATTCAAGTAAGTAAAATAGTTATGTTTATATTTGTAATTTCGGTCCAACTTATTTTCTTTTTATTCTTTTTTTCTTTAGTGCTATTATATTTACATTACGAAAAAATGAAAATTAAAAAAAAAAAAAAAGTTAACTTGTTTATTGAGAATTAGTGTTTCAATGTGTTATATAACTTGCAAGTTAAATCATATTTTTATATGTGATATCAATAGTTTAAAACTTTAAATTCAAGATAATATTTCAATTTGATAATAGACTAAAAGAAAGAACAAAAAATATAATAGTCGGTCTCTATAAAAAAAACTTGTTAGAGTAATTTAAATTGAATTCAAGTTCGTTTACTTGAATCTAAATAAATAAAAACATTAGAAAAACCATAAATAACTAAAATAGAAAAAAGGTAAAAAGGTAATAAAAAATCAAATTGTTGAAAAATAAAGTTAAAAATTGAAAATAAATAAAGTATATAAAAAAAGAAAATAAAAAATGTATATATATTTATTAAAAAACCGAAAATAAATAAAGTATACAAAAAACAAAAAATAAAGTTAAAAAACCATGTGGTGTAATTTTTTGCAAACCTCAGGGTCCAAATTTGAACTTTTTAGGACTGATTTTGCAAAGAAGTTAACCAAGTTAACCATGAAACTCGTTAAGTAAGATAGAGTGATAATTCTACGAGAAAGTTGTGGTCATAGCAATAACAAAATAAATATTAAAGCTTTTTTTCATTTACGCGTTAAAAATTTAGGGCTTTTATAATATTAGTCCATCATATAATTATTATTAGGGGTGTTTATGATTGCTTTTCAAAAATACTTATTGATTTAAAAAGAAAACAATAAAATATTTTTTATAACTAATTTTTATAAGACAAAATTTCACAAATGATCTTTTTGCTTTTCAATTTTTCTTTAAAATAGTCGTTATGGAACCTTTTTTTGTATGAATGGTTCCTTTGGAGCAAACATTGCACACAAACGGTCTTTGTAACTAACTTTGTTAATTGTATGTGAAATGACAAAAATACATTTTATTTTTTTGCACATAATTTGTCCTTATGATTCTATCTCTCCCTCTCTCACTCCTTTTCTCTAATGTAAGTTGGTGGTAATGGTTTCATTCTTTGTTTCTGTAACGTCCCAGAAATCAATGTGAAATTTTTTATTTATCTAATTAAGGTAAAATCATTGTTTCCAATCAAAACCAAATGCCAAGTACAATATCCAAAAATCAGAGTATCATAAAGTCTCCAAAACATGTCACTAAAGGATGTGTACGATCACGCATTTGCTTTCCCCCTATCATTCGAAGTGCCTGAAACGTAACACTTAAATCATAAGCCCAAACTTTGTGAATTCCCCCAAAGTACCCCACACAACAGAACATATAAACTCATGCATGTTGGGTCAAATCAATCATCGGACTAGAATACCCTCGGGTCCACAGACATCAGGCTGGATTACCCCCGGCCCAATCAGTCATCGGACTGGAATGTCTCAACCCAATCAGGCATAAGACTGGAACGCCAATATGCAACGGGTCCAATCAGTCATCGGACTGGAATACTGTGGTTTGTTGGCTCATGCACATAGCAGTAAAGCCTCAACCCAAAACCGCACCATGCCGACATATGCAACAGATAAACATATAACCAGCCAACAGACAAACATGCAGATCTAACATATCACTACAACATAACATCCTATATATCATGATACATATCTAACAGATCGCTACAGCATAACAACATCCTATATACCAGGATACATAACATAGTGGGCAGGCATTGGTGCTTTCGACCCACAAGTACAGTAAGGAAAACTCACATCACTGTTTGAAGATATTTGAACATAAAACTTCTCCGAATACGAGCTCTACAGGTCACCTATACATCAAATAATGACTAAATCTCAGACTACAACCTAAAATACCCAAAATGCCCCTAAGTCAAACTTAGTCAAAGTCAATGGTCAAAGTCAAAAGTCAACCTACAACTGACCGCCACGTCATGGCCATCCTTGGTCGTGTTGTGGCGGCAAGACGACAAAATAGACGCAAGGCAGTCATCCGCCACGTCGTGGGGATCCATTCGTCACACCATGGGGACTGTTCAGACCAACTTAATCCAATAAGCTCTTAATCCATCAAACCAACCATTCAAACTTTCCAGAAGGCATCCTCTCATCCAATGGACCACAAAGATTGTTGTTTTGTAAAGCCTGCAGATTCGGGCTAGTCAATTTAAAGACAATAAGTGTCAAAAAACGACTTTTTGATAAAAGATTATTTAGAATAACTAATCTTAACCAGGTTATAGCATGTGTCACAAGGGTTCCGTACATATAAAGAACGTTGAAATTTGAGTTATAACGAAGAAGTTATGACCCGTCGAAGTTTTGCGACAAAATCGGCACAACGTTGTGTATCGTAAAAAGTGAGTTTGCGATAAAATACTTTTTAGCCTAAGTGATCTAAAAGAAAGTTGTAGTATACGTTAAACCGAGAGCGTGCATAAAAAGAACGTCCAAATTTGACTTCGTATCAGGAAGTTATGATTTTTCTAAGATTTGGCATAGCAGTATGCAGCCCGGAATTTGACTTCTAGATCGATCGATTTTTAGCCGACACAATCTAAATGAGAATTGAAGATCTCGTTAATAAGAACTCAACGATATAAACACAGACGAAAACGAACGTCAGATGACAAAGTTATTAATTTTTAACGGATTTTAACTGTCTAAGTCTGTTAAAATATAACTTTAAAAATAAAGTCAAAATTAGCTGATGGAGTCTAAACAAAAGTTGTAGATTATGTCGCCACCTACACGTGAATATAAAGAACGTCGAAAACGGAGCTCGTATGTGAAAGTTATGGAAGTTAGAAGTTGTGTATAGGCTGATGCGTGAAGTGACACGTAGCTGAATCTGGACCATTGTTTTCTCCCCACGGCCTCACATGCGGAGCTGACATCTGGCCCTCGTACGCACAGGGTAGCCCCTCGTACGCGCAACGTACTGACTACGCGATGCGTACTCCGAAGCTACGCCCAACGTAGTACGAGGAGTTCAGCTATAAACAAATGCGTGAGCACCCTCATTTCTTCACACCTTATCCCTTCTTTCTCTCTCAATACTCCCAAACTTTCCCTCACCTTCCCTAGTACTTCCCAAGTGCTAGAGGTGAGTACCGGAGCGCCAGAAGGCTCCGAGAAGAAGAGCTTTTGGCTCATAAGTTCTGCCCGCACAGAGCCTGGTTCTTCGCTAAACTCCATTGTAAGTGAGTTATGTTTACCCATCTTTAAGTATAGCTTATGTTTAAGTTCATTATCGTTATTATGAACTTATAAACAATATATGTAAGTATTATAAAATATACAAAGTGTTATTATAATATATTTTAACTGCTCGCGGTACGGGGAATCTGGTTTGAAGGATCGCATAGGGTTGTTGGATTTCAGAACAGCTTAAATGCCAAAATGGTCCTGCCCTCCGGTGTTTCATGTATGTGATGGGTTTTGAGCATTCTAACACTCCTATGGTGTGCATGCAACCCTAGAAACCTTGGATCTATGT